CAGACAATGCCTGAGGCTGAGGGTTGATCAGTTATTTCAGCACAGGTCTTCTGTCTGGAATTTTGAAGGCTCTGTATTTTTCATAAAATATGCAAAATTTTTCTATTTTTAATTTCTGTTGCCCAGCACACTTTTCATTTATATTTTAGAATATATATATATATGATGTGATATGAATACATGTCATGCATGTAATTTTAAGCAAAAACAAAAAACAGAAACAAAAACAAAGTCTAGCTAACAGTCAAACACTACATGCTGACCAGCTCCATCTTTTAGCAACAAGATACAATTCCCCTGAGTGCTTTGTCTGTTGCTAACATGTCACTAATAAACACTTTGAAAAAAAATGAGATGACAACGTTAATAAACTATTCACCAAATTAGTATCTTGATGACTCTTAATTGATCAACATGATATATTTATCACAGTAGCAAAAACTCAAAATCTTTAGGATCTGTTCTCTTTTTACTGACATGCTTAAATACAGTATTTATACTTTTGGTAGTAATGGTTTTATAAGGGAAAAAAAATGCCAAACCAACCTTTCTCACATGAAACAGTAAGAAAGTCAAAATTCCTTCTTCTAAAAGCTACGAAACTTTCCTTTCACACAGTGATCCATGCAGGGTCTATAAAAATCATCCAAACTATCAGAATCCGATCATCTTACAAAAGTGTGTGTGTGTGTCTGTCTGTCTGTTTGTGTAACAGGTCTTATTCTCAGCAAGGAGACCTCACAGAAAGGATAAAAACAATGGTATGGAAAGTTACCATCTTCTCCAGTTGGACTCTCTATTGCAAAGTTATTACTTCCATGTGTTTAAAAAAAAAAAAACTTCAAGCAACCACAATCCCTAAAATTTTTGGCGCTCTTATTAAGTATTGAATTGGGGAGGGGAGACGCAGAAAAGCCTATTTTTTTATTATCACACAATTATATCAGAGTCGAAGATTTGTCATTATGGGAATGTGAGGGGAGCTAATGACAAAGGTCGGCTTCTAGAATGTTTACGGGAATCACGTTATGTATCTAAAGCTGTGAAAGTGCCTCCAGCTATTTGTTCTGAACATTTAGATGTGTAATTACTGTGCTGGACACCAGGTTCACAAATACATAACACAACTTAATTTGAGGGTGATTAAAAGGGTGAAGTTAATGCTCTTTTTTTTGGTACAGTAAAGACATTGTTTTTTAAAATCTGTGGTTGTGCAAAGCTGAGGAACACAAACACGACATAAAACTCATTTTCTGCAAACACTGAAATCGTGGCTCACATAATAAAAAGGTCAATGAACTATCTAAAATCTATTGTCTGTGTACTTTTTCACACGCCGGGGTTCAAAGGCAGTATCTTCAGAACTGCAAGTTTCAGCGTGTGTCAAATGAAAGGGGAGAGCAAAACTGTTCCTGCACCCTAAAATGAGAACAGATGGAAATGTAGAATGAGATGCTAAGAGACAGTGAGCCTTTGAAGGAAGGACCACGGAATTTCTCCCAGAGCGGGGCCGATGTACCAGATCTTAGCCGCTTCTGCCTCCCACTTAATGCCCAAACTAAATCTACTGTTCTTGGTTACTTTCCTTTAATTCTTATCAGCATTTTTCGATCCATAGGAATTTTAGAAGAGACTATTAATAAATGTGTGAATGACTTCTACAGACTCAGCATAAGGTAGTCATTCTTCTGATGAGTTTAGCATTATTTCACAACAAAACTATAATAGTGCTAAGTAATAATACAAGGGCAGTATCGGAAGAAGAAACAGTTCTGAGGAGACTGAAGATGTGGACTCTAAAAATCTTGCCTGACCGAAGAGCCATCTGCTGTAAATTAAAGTTTTGTAAATAAATTAGGTCTATATTTTATATTCATTCTTCTCATATTTCATTTGTATAACTAAAAATAATGTTTCCAACAATACCAAGATATTGTCAAGGTGTTCTTTTGCCAGATATTTAATTTTTGTAGCGTACTCTGAAGCTTCTAATAATATCAATTATAAAACTTAAAAAGCTATTTTTATGTGACACTAAAATTCTCAGCGTTTTTATTTTGACTATAGGTAATAATTTAAAAATAAATGAAACATTTTCAGATTCCCAAGAGTTTTCAGATTTTTGTGTATTTAAAAACAGTAATTTTGCTATTTTACAATTATCCTTTAGATATTTTAGAATCAGTTTTAAAGAATAAGCCATGAGTTTATAAAAAGTTGTCATGTATGTTCCACATAATAACATGTGGGGTGCAATGCTGTAACTTAAACATTTCATATAAAACTTAAGATTTTTTGATGCAACAAGAACTGGATATTTTAGCAAGGAGTAAGCAAGTCTAGAATCCATTCTCATCTGCAGTTTCAAGCTGCTTCCCCCAACAACAATGAAAACGTTTTCCTCAGACGTTTCCTTTCTCTTCTGCCAAGAAAGTTGACTTTCAATACCATAACCCTACTTTATGTTTTCTAACCTTACAAGGTTCAAACATCAAAAAGAAATATAGAAGGATGAATCATTCCATGTGGTGAAAGCAACTATAACTCACTTCAGTGACTTCATTTAAAACAACCCACAGCATCGGCAACCTGTTCCAGGTTTCGCTGGCGGGAGGCTGAAGAGCTCCCACCTCATTTAGCTGAACAAGTGCATAAAGCAATTGCTGAGACCACTTTGACTTATTTTTAAACATGACTCCCAAAAAGGAGAAGCCTGCATCTCTAGCTTCCTTTTTTTATCTTCTTTACCAATAGGTAAAAGCAATAAAAGGCACTCATTAAGATTTATTTAGATTCATTTTCTGTATTCCATGCTTATGTAAATAAAACTTGACTTAAGATGAAACAGAATTCTAATTACCCAAAACATTAAATGCAAATCCCCTACAAATTTTACAATATTACCTAATTCACCTTGTAGTTTACTAGTTGAATTTCTCTATAGAAACATATAATTGTATAATGAATTCAAAATTTCTATGTTCTTCTTGGGGCTGATGGACTCTCAGAAAAGATTGTGTACCTAGTCTCTCGGTATTGACTCAAAATTCCTAGTTCAAGACCTTTCTCATCTGTATAAGCCTGTCAGTCACAGCATTTTAGTAGCAAACAGGCATCTGGTGAAAAGGGAACCAGTTGAGGTTATGAGGTCTAGGTGCATGTGAACATCTAAAGACCTGTGCTCAGTCTGTGAGGATCGGGGCGTGGTCCAAGCTGTCTTGCTTTGCTGTATTCATGTCATGGTACAAATATGATTACACAGTGGGTAATCTCTCTGTCAACTTTTACCACCAAAAATTATCTCACATTTTCAGAACATGACTATGACACAGGCTTTGTGATTTTTTGGTGCTGGCAAGTTGCAATGGCAGTGTTTAAATTCCTAACCCTGTGTTTTTGAAAAGAGGATTTGCTAATGTATTCGTAGGGCTGGAGAGTCATTTTTCCATAAATATGAGTCCACATATTATTCAAAATCAAGATACACCAGATTAGATCATCTTTCTAAGTCTATTCCAGTCTGAAAACTAGTATTAGCCTCTACGGCAGCCTACCAATAGAGACCACATTTTAAAAGCAAGCCCGGAGGAAGAAATCTTTACAAAGAGACACAAGTTCCAAGTACAACTACCTTCTGCTTGTTTCCCTTGTACAATTATATGTAAATGACATTTGGCATAAGCCATGAGCTTATTATCCAAGTAGTGGGTTGTTAGGGTTCCTGTCGGCCACAATCATCCTACTCCTGGAAGCGTCAGTACATACACTACAGAGTTATCAGGAGTCAGAAAAAGCAGTTTCTTTTGCCAATTCTGCCTCTGCCTTGAAACAACATCTTGGTATTACAGTGATGATTCCTACAGCCTCATTTTAAAAAGATTTGGTACATTGTATTATTCAATAATTAGTTTATAATGCAAACCGAGTATTTATGACATTTAAATGGTATTAAGTAAACAGAAAATCTAAACACTGACAAAACTCAAACATTCACTTTTTTCAACTTTTCAGTAGCTATAGACAATATATATAACTTCGTTTTCATGGTATATAATTGTTACTTAGATTTAGTTTTTAAAATATTTTGTTCAAATCAGTTTTACATTATTATTTTTAAAAATTTATGTAATTTAACTAACTAGCACATGAACTATTTTTTGGAAAAAGTCATTTGTTGGATAGAAATTTTAAATTTACAGCATCGTTCTTTCACTGTAACTTCTATGAAACTATTAATACCATGCTTATTTATTCTCTACATAGACATATTTTAATAATTTAAGAATTGTGGTTCCTGAAAAGAGAACAAAAGCATTACAAAATGTAAAGACATTCTGAGTTCAAAATGCCATGTAGTTTACTTTTGAATACTTAAGTTTAAATTTAAAAATATGGAAAACTATAATTTCTTTACATGGTACCTATTTATGACACATATGAATAAAAAATGTGAAGTAAAATCCCCTTCAAAGGGATTTTCCCCATTACGGAATATCTTAAGTGAACATTTTAAAAATGAAAGTGTTTAAATTCATTTCTCAAGTACTTCCAGTAACACCCCACACTGATTACTAATTAAACTGATTCGTATTTTGAAATTAGCTACTTTTGACAGATTAAAGGATGAGTACTATAAACTTTTAAGATGAATTTCATAACCCGCCTATTTCATAACAACATTAAATTTTATTATGAGGGAATAACTGGGTTAATATGTTAAGAAGTTCCCTTTTCCTAGTAAGGTAGCAAACACAAATTATTTTATTCAATTCATCTCAAGTTTTTCTTCTTCCACAAAGGGCTGTCTTCCACTTTGATTAATTTAAATTGTCTTCTTTGGGGCTGTAATTACACCATTAGCTGAGGGACGGGACCGTCTCAGTGGGAAATGTACATATTCCAAAAGTTCGTACTTCAGAATTTGGCGATCAGCAATCTTTCCTTCTGGAACAGACACGCACAACCACACAAAGGTGGAAGTCAGCACGGTATTACTCTACCTGGACTGTGGAACTGATCTCGGAGGCAAAGCCGCCAGTCAAGGGAGCCTCGTGGCTGATCAGCAGTCGCCCGGTTTTGACCACGGACTGAAAGAGAAAAGGGGAACCTGATGTTGAAGAAGACACATATTTGAAGCATATGATGGCCTTTTAATTCACTAATAAAAACAAACTGCTTAAATTCCGTAAATAAAAAGCAGTAAGCTGATTTTATGTGTAGTAAGTTCTTACAAATGCCTTTAAATTGGGTGGATTTTTGTACTGTCAAGAAATTTTAATGTAGCGTATAATCTTAGCTTGAAAGAAAAATGAGATTTATAACTCCATGTAGTATATAATTTAAAACGCATGCCTATTTTATAGGATATTTTTTGTTATAAGTGAGTAACTGTTTCATATGATTTTTTCCCATCTTTTTACTTTAAAACTTGAAATGCTTTTTTGGTTGGGGGCATATGACACATAAGTACATGCAACAATAATCTTAAATATTGGTTGTCAAAAAGGGAAACCAGCATGAATAACACCATACAGTCTTCATATGGGCACTAAAATCTGGTAAAGGACCCCAGTGACACTTTAACACGAAAGTGTCACCATGATGTAATCTTGGTGCCTTACAACAGCATAATAGACTAGGTACAAACAAATCCAAGGGCATGGCTATATTATCATAGCAGGAATGGCAGCTACGTTGGGAGGAAAAACTACTAAAATTGACAAGTTATTACTTAAAATACATTAAATCATATTGTCAGAGAAGAGTAGATTCTTCTCTAAATTGCTATTAATGTTATTACTCATCTTTAAAAACTTTACTATTTTATGAACTTTAAATGAAATCTTCAAGAAAAAGATACGTCTACAAGAATGGATTTCACTCAATCTGGGCAATTCTAGTTTAGAATTCAAAGAGAATGGGTGCAGCTTCAGCCAACAGATGTTAAGCCTCAAGATCTGGGCAGGACCCACAACCAAAGTAAGTCACTATAGTTATTAAGTAGTGACAAAAGAACATAAGATGGTAAGAACAGCATTACAAAACACTACCACTCCCAATGACTTGACAGCCTGAAGAACTGGCATTTGGCTTTCTATGGCGGCAGCAATTTGACATTTTTTAAAATCACAATTAAACTTCAGTGTGCTAGCCTAGAGATGATGGCACACAAACATTCTATAATAACAAAAAGACAAACATGATGTTTCTGCCTTGGTTAATTAGCTTGAGCAATCCATTTGCTTGACGGAACTCTGTGAGAGCTCTGCCACACAGAGTCCTGTCAGGGTAACACCACCCAAGCTGGATGCTGTAGGTTAACGTCTAACAGGTCAGAATGAGAGAGTTCTCCAAACATGCTGCTTTTATCCTAAAATTCCATGTAATGTACTTGTCCTTTATAAATCAGGTTTGGAACTATCCAAGATCAAATGACAATATTCAAAACAAACATTGAAATCCAACAAGCAATCAGGGTCTATGGTTCCAGCAACCTACAGAGCTAAAACTCTAGGTGGGGAAAGAGAAAAAAATATACATAGAGAGAGAGATTAGAAAACAGATAGGCAGACAGACATGACATCTATGATGTAGGAGAAATGCAGATGATAAATGCATGTATATACATAAATGCATATATATATATAATGATATAGGAGAAGTGTTTCCAACTCTGACACTTCAAGCAGCATGATATGCATGTATACAGAATCAAGACCTTCTGAGCATCCCTCAGGAGGAAAATGGCTACACAGATGTACCCCCACATCATAGAGCACTGTGAGGCCGCAGAAAAGTCTGACAACATGAAAAGATGTCCAAAGTTAATTAGAAAAATAAGCAACTTGAAGGACGATAGCTCATTTTTGTGAAAAAGTGATGAGACACATACCCCTTTAAATGTGTATTTTATTAGAAATATTCCTTCTACATGATCAGAAATTGTTTTTCCTGAAATATGGTAGTTAAGGAGGCACATGCAAGATAACTTAAGCATCATCTTATATCATTTAGGCTATTGAAAATATTCTCAGTAAGTCTAAGTAAATAAAGGAAAAACCTATGGATTAATGCTAAATTAACAAATCACTATGGTCATAATCTCCTCACGAAATAGAATTGTTTTAAATAGTATCACAGGATTTCTTTCGAAAACAGAGGAACCCCTGGGTCACAGACTGCAGGAGCGAATGGCTACATTACAATCACTGGAAGCCAGCCTCCACCTGCCACCTTCTTAGAGGTCTGTTCAAGCAGAACCCATGCGAAGCTCCTTGCTGAGACTTCAAGACAATGGAGCTCAGACAGTGACAAATAGAGGGTCAAGTCCCATGTCTCTGACTGTGCCTAACATAAAATGTGCTGTCATTCTCAGATAGAGGATATTGCTATCAGAACTTTAGAAGCAAGTCCAGAAATTCCTGAAACACCAAGAACTAGAGGGCAGATGAAACAGAACATAACTTCACTTTGGATGCGTGGAGATGCCAGCTTGCACTCATACAAAGAGAGCATTTAAAGAAGAGGCATACAGAAGCAATTATCAGTCACAAGTATCACAGACACTACCAGGGCCCCTGCTCTGAACCACGGATTTTGTGCCCACTAATTCACTTAATTTAGAAAGTAGTCAAGTTTCACTTTTTATGCTTAAAAATATCTCTGACCCCTGGAAATCATTTACATGTATAAAATAAAGAAGAAACACTGCTATTTTCAGCCATACTCCCTAAGAATTAACATCTATTTGATTATCTGAATATAGTTCAATCATTTCATGAGGCAGAACAGAAACCCAATGTGGCATATGCTTTTCACCATTCACATTTTTAATTTGCTAAGACTCCTAAATTGTTTTTCCTATCCCATTTTATTATTTTCATTTTATTAATATTGTGATCAATATTGAGGTTACTCCAAATTTAGAAAACAGAATTTTATCATTTGTGGTTCAAATAAATATCTGTTAAAATCAAGTTTAATTTTCAATGATCATACAAAAACCTAGATAAACCTTAAAACACACAACTGCCTAGAAATTTCCTTACAAAGTTGGCACTTCCCTGAACTCCCTTAAAATTAGTACAGTGTTTTCCAAAGGTGGTTGTTATTAACTATCTTAAAATACAAAACAACAGACATGATAATACTTTTCTTCCAAAGAAAGAGAGGCTTAAAGCTGTCAAGTTCCCATCTGTGAGAAGTATTACCCGTCTAAAAGAAATTCAAGTGTTTAAACAACTTTTCAATATGAAAGCTAAACCAATCAAAGCCAGGAAAAATCACACAGGCTGGATTTTCCAGTTCCTGCTTCCCCAACTTTTTACCACTAAAAACTGCCCCTGGATTATGGTCTGTGGCACATGGGGTACCGCTGAGTCAGAGGCAACAAATGGCACCAGCAAAGGCTTAAGCCAATTAAAGATTAGGTCTGTGAAAAGCTTCTCCCCATATTTCTCCATATTCCAAAAATAGGAAATCTGTTCCTCGCCTGTTAAAACCTTAAAGGCTGTCCCCCCCAAAAGGTTCCTCACCACTTCAAGATCTTACACCTGAGACCAGTAGCCTCCTGTCCACAGGAGAGGAGAGGCAAACAAAATGGGGACGAGGAGGTTACAGAAAAATACGACGCCCTGTTCAGATGGAATCCTGGTTTGTGATCTATGACTTTTCCCCCACCTGCATCTATAGGAATGGTGAGAAGCTAAGCCTATCTATACATGACAGCTAACAGAGTAGTCTGAATATGGGAGACACTCCAAGCAAGTCAGATCAAACCCTATGACAACAAATGTTTACAGATACTGCACACGCCATCTTTATATATTTACACTATTACAAAATCCATTTGTACACCTCAGTACACCCTGCAATGGTTTGAAGTAAAACTCCAAATCAGTGGAATTTAACATAGCTTTTATCTGTTGATTTAAAGCCATTTTTAGCTGTTAGAGTAAAGCATAAATTTCATACCTATATATAGATCCCCTGTGATATGTCATACATGCAGGCTAATGTCACTTTAGCAACAAAACACCAGTCGCTGCAAAGCTAAGCTGTACTCCGCGAAAATGGTCACGCAGACGCTGGCTGCCCGAATGCTGGACATATGTTTTAGTGAAGGTAGTCTTTAAAGATTTAACACAATCCAATCAGGAAAACTATTAAGCTGTCATACCAGGAGAAAATGACACAGACAGGCAGACCATTAAGCTTGCATATACTTGGAAGTACAACACCAGCATTCAGAATGGGGTGTGTGTGTGTTATTTCTTACACAAAATATATAGCAAAACTTCTCCCTAGAGGCAATTCAAACCTTACCAGCACCAAGATGAGCAAGATGCAGTAAGAATGTAATATTCTGGATAGGCAATTTATCAGTTCCTATCAGAGTATAAAGATGAGGACAGCAAATGAAACACCGAAGCCAGCCTTCACCAGCAACCACAATGATTGGCGAAGTCATAACGCATTTCACTTATGGAACATGTTACTCAGTAATTACACAATCTAGAATTTGTTAATGACACAGTATCGATGAGCTTCAAATATCAATGTGAATGAATTAGGTAAGTATTTTTGAAACATTTTCATGTATAGTAGCCAAACACATTTCACAGACCGAAAAGAAGAAAATGGGGGCAAAAAAAAAAAAATACAATTAGTCACAGGCTGACAAATGTATCACTAGATGCCTGGAAGCCAGTATTTATCAGCATGCCTGCTGCACATGACTGGACCACTGGCCAGTGTTCCACTGGAGAAATACCAACACTAAAAAGAGCCGTCTAGAGCTCCAGGGAGAGTTCTAAAAAGTCCATTTTGGCAAAGATAGTGCTGGCAGGGTTACAAATATTTAATATTGTAGGAGAGTAGTGTAAACTGAGAAAAACTGAATCCCTGCGGCTTTGTCACCCCTGTGGGAAAGGGGGTAAAGGCACAAGCAGAAACAATGACAGCTGAAGGAGGAAGACAGAAGAGTACGCCCCTTCCATGCACTGTTGTGAAATTCTCAGACACTCTCCATGGTTCATTTTCTTCCATTATTTTGAAAATCACGGTGAAAATCCTGAAGAACTCTAGA